CAAACAGCGGTTACAAACATAACAAACGGGTTTCGCATGGTATATTAAACTTGACGTTTCGTATGCTACATCATACATCTTCAGAAGTGACGCTTACAAAACATGACAAGATTTAAAAAGACTAAAACTAAAGCGAGGTATTGGTAACTAGCTAGACAACAATGAACAAAAGAAATTACATCCGGTGTGAAATAATAAAGAAAGAGTTTTTCCTACCGACGTTCTCATCTAGGGCGGGCTTTAAGTCCCGTATTAACAATGTTTCTTGATTTTACACTGTAAATCACATTGACCACTTGCTGCTGAGAATCTCATTATGGTCCCATTTGATGTTGTGACGGGTAGAAGTTAAATGATCAGCAACAGCGGAGGCTTGACAACCTTGAGTGAGAGCTTTGAAGTGCTCTGTCTTTCTTTCATGCGATCTTCTTTTGGTTTTACCGATGTAGAAAACATCACAATCCCAGCAACTGGCTTTGCAGACAATCTTCGATTTCTGCGAGCGGTTGAAACGATCTTTGTAAGGAAAGAAAGACAATTCTGCGAGTGTTCTGAAAAATAACCTACGGTTAACAATTAAAATTTTCAACAAAATTGAAGGGATTAGTTTTTAAAGTAATTAAAGTGTTAAAAGGCTGCACTAAAGTACACCAAAAAAGAAGCAAAACAAGGATGGCTAGGAATGAGGAATCTAGCTTAAAACAGTCAGNTACTGAAGATACAACAGTTTTGGCAGAGCTCACAAAATTGCCGCCATCTTGTACACCAACCGCTGACCCGATCAAGAATAATCAGCAACAGCGGAGGCGTGACCAACTTGAGTGAGAGCTTTGAAGTGCTCCGTCTTTCTGTCATGCAGTCTTCTTTCGGTTTTACCGATGCAGAAAGCATCACAATCTCAGCAACTGGCTTTGCAGACAATCTTCGATTTCTGCGAGCGGTTGAAACAATCTTTGTAAGGAAAGAAAGATTTAATTCTGCGAGTGTTCTGAAAAATAACCTACGGTTAACAATTAAAATTTTCACCAAAATTGAAGGGATTAGTTTTTAAATTAATTAAAGTGTTAAAAAGCAGCACTAAAGTACACCAAAAAAGAAGCAAAACAAGGATGGCTAGGAATGAGGAATCTAGCTTAAAACAGTCAGAATTGTGTCTTGGATTAACCATGTAGTTGCTAACAGTCAACAAGCGTTAATTAATTAACTTTAAACTAACCATCGTCTATTTCTTTTCAACAGGTGACATACCTAA